CTGACAGGCGCTTAAGCGCATGACATGGACCCAGTGCGGCGGCGGCGAGCTGAACCCGCTGCGTTATGCCGGCAGATGTGGGAAAAAAGAGGGCGCCCATTGAGGATGGACCACAAGAAACTCGCACCATCGAAAGGTCTCGACTGAGCCGACTGAGGACTCTCGACTCATACCGAGCAGTCCACTTTCGTCCGTCGATGGTGCAGCGAAGCTAGCTCGTCAAGTTGAAAGGTCAATGGGCCCCATCATCATCATCCATCCCCAAGCGGATAGGGTCGAAACGGCCGGCAGGTTGAGCAGTACGTAGCCTCGCAACATACATGCCACACTTCTCTCGCCAATCTTGCAGTGCGCCAGTGTGGTAAGAGACAGAGGGTGGAGAGGGGAGAGAGAGGAAGGAAGCCAAGCTGAGAGCCTCGGGCGGGTGCCATCCATGCATCCATCGTACATCGTAAGGCGCGGCGGCAGCACACCCGAGGTCTTGGTAAGAAGATCGTGAAGCTTGGCAGGCGAGACATCATGGTAGCCAAGCCGCGGAGGATTTGTCAAGCGAACGTTGATCCCAGTCACCATGGCATGCCTTCTCATCGCTCAGGAACGAAATCTGTTTGGATTCTTCAACAGATTTCTCTGGGCAAAGAGTCCGAGTATATTAATTTCAATTTATTATGAGGGAAGGCCTTGAGAGCCTTGGTAGCCTTGGTTGAAGAAGGTTTCCCGCAGCTTTGGACTTGTGAGGCAGAGCACGGTTGTTAGATAATATGATTAGATCTCTGCCAAGCCTCCGCCTTGGGCTTCTCGTATGCATGCGGCGTAGGCCTTTCTGGCGAGTGTGCCATCTTTTTCAGGTATACGAACGTCAGGTATACGAATGATGAGGCTCAAGCACCTCAGGGACATCGTACGACCTCTTCGTGGTAGAGTCACGGGAGCTAGCATACAAGAAGTTTGAGAGTTTAGAGATGAGGAGAAAAGAAGCCTCTTTCGATGCAAGCCGAGAAGCTCGCGTTGAGCGGAACCTTCATCTTTGAAAACGACCAGCGGCTAATGAAGGCCAAGAAACCTGTACAATCAAGCTTCTTTTCGTTACCCTTCCTCCCTCCTCGTAAAGATCCAATCAGCAGGCTTAGCAAGGTAAAAGGCAGACGGAGGAGGTGTGGTTTTTTGGCTCAGATCCGCTCCCCCCCGGTCGACGAGTTTCCAGATGCCAAGATGGGAGCTTAATTGCCCTGTTGGATTTTTCTGTGACAAGTCTTGCGAAGGTTGTTGCAGATTTTGGGCGAGTTGGCAAGGTACAAAGTAACGAAAGAGAGAGAAAGACAGAGGCAAGAAGGTTGAGATGAAAAGACTTTTGGGGCGAAAAAAGCAGCCAAACACGGGGCAACGAGGGGTCCTGGAGACGGGGTGGGAACCGGCTCGTCACGGCAAAAAAGGGCGCAGCACGACGGGATGTAAAGAGGTGTGTGTGATGGTGTGTAGGTGTGTGTGTGTGTGTGTGTGTGTGTGACGAGGGGGAAGGGAAGTTCAGGTTTCGAGGGTTCGGCCGTGCGGCCGTGAGATGAGGCTATAGCATGGCTCCGGGGCCAATAGCAAAGTGCCCGGCTTGGGGAGGGGGGAATAATATTGAATTGGGGCAGAAAAAGAGCGGCGAGTCAACTAACAGAGTTGCACGCTAGTTGATCACCTTACTCTTGTTGCCCAGGGGGCAGCACGAACGATACGGAACGAGGCGAGCGAGCAACCAACCTAACGCAGGTAGTTTATTGACTCGTAGACAATCAGCCTCGCGGGGGAGAGGAGAGGAGGAATGTTGAAAGCAACATATTGAAGGCGGGGTTGTCAAATTATCAGTAGGATAGTTTTATGAGGCTCTTTTGGTTTTCTGGAAAAGAGTTGGCTTTTGTTCAATAGCTTTTTCGTTTATTCCACCCCCTTACAGATTTTCATTGGTGAAGAAGCCGAGACTAGTTCGCTGGGCGTTTTGCCCAGAGAAATGCGTTTCCGTTAGCCAGATCTGGCAGGTGAGGGAACGACAAGGGGAGAGGAGGGGGCCCAAGCTGATATAGCAGTAGTAGAGTCAACTATTGGGGGCATTTTCCAATATTGTGGCAGTCCCTTTCTTCCATGCAGCCAGGTTGCGTAGGCAAAGCATGAACCACCGGCACGAAGTAGGTAGGTAGAGCCTCATCGATGATCCTGGGCGAAGCTTGTGCGAGGTGAACGCCACTTCCGGATGATGATCGCGCGGTTCAACGGCCGAGTCTCAGGGTTTTCCAGAGGACAGGGTTCTTGGTCAGTAGACTTCCGTCACTCTTCTCTGAAAGAGGAGTGGAGGGGAATAGGCTCAAGAAGGGGCTGAGGGAATTAGGCAAAGTCTTTTCAAACGTGACTTCTTGACGATGATGCAAACTGTCGAACCCAGCTTTCGGCAAGGCGGCAAATTCGGCAACGACGGCCATTCCAGACTTTCAGTTTCGAGCTCCTGAACTCCTTTCCTGGGCCAGGAACGGGTGTTGATGATGATGATGGAACGACAGCAACAAGGTGGTGTTTGTCCGTACTCCGTTCTGCCTCTGTCTCTGCCTCTGTCTCCGTCTCTGCCTTCTCGCCGGCCAGGCTCACCAGTAATCCTCCCCGAGAGCCCTGGTCAGCTTGAGTGTAAGTGGGCTCTCCTGGGACGTTGGTGTGTGGAATGTGGATACAAGATTGCATGGTCGTACTTCTGAGCAGTAGACTCGGAGCCCGGAGGACGCCAAAACAGCAGCGTATAGATCAACCAGCGCAGTGCGAGGAATCCGGGCTCGAAGAATCAAAGCCCGTCGCCCGTTGGCTTTTGTTCGGATTTCCCGCTCTAGAGGCTGTCATTCGTCGGCCGGCGCGGTGGGCTAAGCAAATTCTGGCATCCGTCATTGAATGAAAAATGATCCATCCCGCTTCAGCGCCGTTTGGATGTTACACATCAGTGCGTCGGGCACTCTCCCGCGAGCCAGTGCCAGCCACCATCTTGATTGAGTGACCCGGTGAGAGAGGCTAGGCCTGAAAGGTTCGACTAGCTCATACCCAAGGTAGGTAGTCTTGCCCAGCCTTGGATCAAAAACGGGGAAGAAGGGAAGGGGAAGAGTCTACACTAGAGAAGGGGGAGGGCCTGGAAGGGGAAGGGGAGGGGAAACTCGGGAGAAAGACTCCCTGAAGGCTTTCCCGGTCCGCACCGGGCCCTCCCTTGTCCTGAAACCCGCTCTTTCCCACGCTGAGACGCATGGTCCCCTGCAAGTGTCGTCGCAGATTTTTGTAGAACTCGCAGACCTTCAGCGCGCAGTCCTCCCCCAATTGCCCCCCCAAGGAACCCCCCCAAAGGTCCCAATAGACCCCTCAAATGCCGGGTCCCGACCGGAGGATACGTCTCGCGCTAACAGATCCCCCGCATGTGTCTCGCCGTGGGATGGTAGCGACTCGACATTCCAGTACCATCCCAATTCGGCTCTTCGAAACTGCAGCTTCGACAGCGGACTGGTCGACCTTTCTACAGCTGTCTCACGTCTACAACACCTCACACGCACCTCACAGGCTCACAGTACATGGCTCCGTATCGTACACACTACGTACATTACCAACTTGGATGCCGTTCGCTAGACCCCGGCTACGATCTTCACCACGGTCATGCTGCAGACACTACTGTAGGGGTGTGTCATCCCTGTTCTTCTCTCCCCTTGATGCCCACACCTTGACCAACTTCTCTCGACTCTCGTTCGCCGACGGCCAGTTTATTACCCACCGCTCTTGAGGATGAAGCAGAGACGACGAGACGTACCGATGAAGAAGCTGGTCCCTCTCCCCCCATCTTAAGTCTCGTCTCTAGACTTCTCCTACCGTCCCCTGGAAGAGCGTCCGTGTTCTCCTTCAGGCTTCAACCCCCTCCGACCCAACTTCTCCTACCGCCGGAGCATCAATGGCCTGCTCTGGTAATGATTGACACCTAACAAGCTTCGGCGCATCTCGTCTGCTCTCTCTGCCCACTGGATCGACTCGATGGGCGAATAGTCCATTCCAGACATCTTCCACCATCCATGCCTTGCGTGCCTGTGCCGGCCAGGGTCCCTGTTGTCTAGGTATACATATGGAGGCACACGAATGGATACTGGACTGGCCACCGGGTCTGTGTCTGAGTCTGGTGTACAGTACGGGGCATTTGTACGGACCAGACGCCAGGGGACTGGATACGGGAAGAAAAGACCAGACCATGCTTCGTTCTGCGTAGCCGTACGCTGGGAGCCTACGAGTAGTAGAGGGGTGGACCTTCCTCGACCTCGTCCGCCCTCGCCGGGTTGCCGCACCTGTCTTTGGACAGACTCTCGATGCGAATCTTCTGCTCTATACGGGTACTTGTCCAAGGTGGTCTGTACTCGGAAAGTCGGCGGTGGCTGGAACCTGTTGCTGATGCCGCTGATGCTGCTGATGCGACGCAATCGTGTTCGGCCCTGCACGTCAGTCCAAGCAGAACGCCTGTGCTTGACGTTCGGATATTCAGAGAAAGGGACGAAGAAGATGGCATCGCCAGTATACGCAGCCAACGTACGCAACAGTACATGCGGCCATGACCAATTCTGCCGGCCTGACGTTCTACTACCACCCAGTAGTGCTAGTACAACAAGAGTCTGAAGTCGTCTTGTCTGTCCCTGTGGCACTGCCATGACAAAAAAGTCAAACCCGCGCGACTGACCGCTGACATGCTCGACGACAGCTCGATCCACGGACCACCCACTAGTGCGCCGCACCCATCGGCTTTCGCGTGCCAGTTCCTGCGCCAGTCCTAGTCAGTGCTGGTGCCCGCATGGGGTGTCGTGGGTGTCTGGATCTATCCCTGAAGCATCTCGGGGGGGGCATCTGTCATGCAGCATGGGTCTCCCCGCGAATGATGGATAGATGATCGACCCAATCTGATACATACTGTCGCCTCTCGCTCGGCTGGCTTCTCTTCTTCCCTCCCTTCTCCCTCTTCTCCCTCTAGTGCCTGACATCTCCGCCAGCTGTTTGGTGTTCACCACTTTTTTCCATTCTTCCATACCAAGGCCGGCCTTATTTTTCATTTCAATTCTTTTCTTTAGACCCCTTTGCTGGCACTGACGTCTATTCATTCGTGTGTTTGTATTCTTCTGCCTTCTCTCATCCGCTCTTCGCAAATCGATCGATTATTCTTCCCACCCCGATCCAACCGGTTACAACTCGACCTCGAACAGCATCAACCAAGGGCCATGGTCGGAAGTGATTGACAAGAGGAAAACCTTGGCGACTATCATCGGTCCGGAACGGATAGGATAGGATAGGATGACAGGAGAGAAGGGAATGGCTCCTCACGCAGTGCCACGGGCCCAGAGGCCCTCCAAGAGACGAGCACCACCCGCCAACATCGCCGTACCGCCTTTGCTTTGGGACCGCGATGCCGAGTCTGACGATGAGTACGCCAACCAAGTGAGAAACGCCGCAGGAGGCGTATGGAAACGGGCCATCGATGCTGGACGCAGGTATGCGGATTCGGCAGTAGACCGCCGCTCAGACAGCGACAGCGACGATAAGGCGCGGAAAAACCAACTCAAGAACCCTCCTCCCCAACAACAACAGCAACCCCCTTCAAGCCCGGACACCCCGAAAGCTGTGAGGCCTTCCAACAATGTGGCATCAGGAAAGTTGCCTTTGGCAACTCTCCGTCCGCCGCCCGCATCGATTCGTCCTCCTCCGGCGGTCGTTGCCGCACCGGCTGTGCAACCGACTCCCGTGAGAACGACACCCGCTGCTACATCGAAACCCCCAGCTGTACAGGTTCCAGTTTATGTCGAACAACCCCAAGAGACTTACGCACAACCTCAAGAGACTTTCATCGCTCACCCCGAGATTCCTGTCGAGGCACCGGAGCGTCCTCCCACCCCGCCGCCTCCACCACCTGAAGAGCCCGCACCAGCACCAGTTCTAGCTCCGGCTGAGCCTGACCCACCACCACCACCTCCGCCTGAACCCGAACCCCCAGCAGCGCCGCCAGCTACCATGACTGTCACGGCGGCTCCGCGAACTGTCACCCTCATCTCAACCATGAAGCAACCGGATTCGGTAAGTCATATGAGTCAAGGAAGCATCGTTGAACGTGACTGATGTGGAACAGCCCAAGAAGCCCAAGTTCACTCCGTCACCACCGCCTCCTCCAGTAATTACTCCCACTCCTACAGTCCCGCCTGCAGTCATCGCTCCCAGCGGGCCTCTTGCCCTGCCCCCTTTGCCATCGGTTGATCCCTCAGCCCCGAGGAAAGGCATCGATGGAGAGAAGCACTCAACGCCTACCATCACAGCCACTCTCGCCTCAGCAGTACTCCCAGCCGAGACCATTTCAGCGTTGCCAGGCTTGGCCAGTGGTGGTTCCAGCAAGGATGATGGCAGACCGCCAAGAATGAACCCCGAGACAGAGCATGCCCTCATTGCTGTTGGCTCAATAGGTAAGCATCAGAAACTGAAGTAGACCTTCACAGTAACTGACATTGTGCAGGATCATTCATCTTTGCGTCATTCCTGGTGTGGATTGTGTGGAGGACAATGAAGAGGGCGGGACGCATGAGAAGGGAAAGGGAGTCTGGTTACCAAGGTGACAGGCCAGGTGGCATTGGCTCAAAGATCCCCTTCTTCAAGGGATCTAGTGGATGGGAAAACCTCGACGGACGACGAAGCGAACCACCTCAGTACGAGAAGGGACAGCGAGGGACACTACGCCTGGACACGGGGTTCTATGGCCCCGACGGCAAACCCGCCCCCTACGTTACCAACGGCACATACCCTGCCAACTACACAATGTCGCCAGCTGATAATCGCGGCAGCCCCATTCACCAGAGTCCTACAGGCACCATCCCCATGAGGATGAACAATGTCAGTGGGCAAGGCACATACAACAGTCAACAAAACCCGTTCAGCAATCAACAGAGCGCTTACACGAGCCAAGTCGGCACGTATGACAGCCAAACCGGGACTTACATCAGCCACGCGCCCAGTGGGTCCCTTACTCACATTATCGGACAGTACGGCAGCCCAACAGACCCCAACCTGACCCTAAGGTCAGGCGTGGGCGCCGGTGCCTACTTTAACCAGTCTGAGCTCGCCCGCCAGCCCTCGGACGCCTATGACCCGGCTAGGCGTCAAGTCAACCGGGCCAGCGAGCTTTCGTCCATCTCTTCTGGCTTCGGCGATGGTGACATCATTGTACCCGGAATGCCTGGCATGGTGCTCCAGCCGCCTCCCCCAGTGTCACAGTCACTGAGAGCCAGTCAGAACGGCGTCGGTCGCTTCTCATGGATGAGCAAGACGAACCGTGAAACAGTATACACAGAGGCTAGCGAGGACCTTCCAGCGAGGTTCAGGACGGTCGACAGCTGGGTCAACCAGCAGACCGGCCGCGTCAAGAGAGCACAAGCCAGGCCAGAGACGGACGAAGACATCCCGCCCGTGCCGGGTTTACCGGCCGGGACAGGCCAAAACGGCATGCCGCCTGAACCCCAATTTACCATGATGATGCCGGACGGGGAGGTACCCCGGCGGCCGGATTTGGGGCCGAACGCGTAGTAGCTCGTCCAACAGACGTGACCCGGACACAACACACACAAGAGGCAACTTTTCTTTGTTTTCATACCCAAGCATGGCGCGGATTAACAGGATTCCAATGAGGTGGAAGGGAAGAGGGGAGGAAGGGCAGTGGGAGGCTGGGAGCGGGTTGTAATACCAAAGGTCATATCACATACACACGCTTTGACACAAAGAGAGAGAGAGCGCGAGAAAGAGATGGGAGCCGAGAGGCGATCGCTTTGTACAAACAATACTTTTTCACACACACACTCAAACAAAACCGAACAATATGTACCCATACGACTTCTGCAAATGCTTCCTTCTTCAAGCCTGGCGCTTGGGTGGCTCTGCGGAGTTAGACATCATTCACATAGCGCGTGTTCTTTCTTTCCCCCCCTTGTACAGATAAGTTTTTGATGGAGAGGTGTGGGTGGTGGTGGGGGAGTGTTGAGGCTCGGGTGCCAAGACATTTGGGTCGGTGATGATGGTGTATGTTAGTGGTTGAGAGGTGGGTAGTGGGAGGTGGGATGTAATCCAAACGTAAACCAATGCACACGACTTGACGATATTGTTGATCTGATCTGATTGATTGATTGATTCATTCGTGAGGAGCACCCATAAAAGTGAGGACGTCAAGAGGTCGATTCTCTGGGAAAGGGTGTGGATCTGGCGGAGACATTCTTTTCGCGAGACCTTGAGATCGTCAGGCACCTCGTCCCCGTTGCATAAGCGGGTGAACGCGTTCGCCAAAGTTAGCCGCAAGCCTTTTGGTGGAGGATTAGTGTGCGATTTTGATATACCCCTGCGTATAACACGGTCGCGTACTTGGTAAGTCGAGGGGGAAGAGATCTCTCTCTATTGGCTTTTGGGGTTTCCCACAGCGTTACAGTGAATGCGTGAGTGACTGGGGAAGAAAAAAAGCCAAGAGGTGGCCGGCATGGTGATGATGAAGCCTTTTCGCCATCGTGTGTGGCTGCGTTCTTCATCATGTGCAGGTACGCAGGCCTCCCAGACATTTTTCTTGATTCACAGGTGCCTCGATTTTGAGAAGGAATCAATCTCCGTGTATTTAACAAGAACCTAGTAACATGGCAAAAACCGCAATCTGTGGGACGCCAAGGCATACTTCACGAGACTTACACCCTGGAGTTGACAGCAAGTCCCGAGGAGGAAGCAAAGCTGACGAAGCAATTTGGAGCGCAGCTCGACTTTAGTATACTGTTTTTTCGTGTAAGCGAGATCCGGCGTTGCTTTAGTTGAGGAGCATTGGGGCAAGAATAAAGCCCGTCGATCAAATAAGCGAACAGGCGAATCACCAAGTAGTACCTTGGTTATGTGAGGTTTGCACTGCAAAAAGTTGCCAAAATAAGAATCTCAAAGAGAGAACCATTTGGACAGGTTCCCACCATTGGGCCGCGCGTTTCGGAAGGGAAACGGCACGGTTTCCAAATGGCAAAAGAAAACCGTTGCGGGCCTCGGATGCGGCTTGAAGCCTTTGAACGAACGTGGGAATGGAAAGCCGCTTGCACAGCCGCCACGCTACGTACCCGTCCTGGCGAGCTGACGAATCGGCGGGCTGACTTTTCACCCTTTCTGGTCAACGTCCTCGAGCGTTTAGAGACCGGGAAATAGTGTGGTGTGGCGGAGCGGGATTGATGTGGGGACTGAGCCCGTGGCTTGTGTCCAATCCGAGGGGCTGGCGGGGCAGCTGTTGAGGTAAGGTACTGCGGAGGGAGCATGAAGTACATCTTTTCCCCGCTGCTTTGACCTACACCTGCCACTATGCAATGCGCCATGCTAGATCGTCTATGCAAGTCTAATTCTTCTAGCTACTTATCTTTCTATAGCTCTTTTATACTTCCTTAAATCATACTTAAAGTAAGTTAAGTAAAATAAATAAGTAAAATAAATAAAAATAATAAAAATAATAAAAATATAAATATAAATATTTATTAAAAAATTTCTTTAATATTTTTAATAAATATAATTTAATTTTTATTTTCTTACTTTATTTTTTTAAAAAAAAATCAAAAAAATATTAATTTAAAAATAAAATATACAAAAACGACTTAAATTTTTTGAAAAAATATATATATAATTAATAAATAAGATTAAGTTAATTCTATAAATAATTTATATATTTTAAAAGATTTTTTATTAAGGTTATTGTTTTATAAGCTTTGAGTACTATACTTAAGGTATCATACTAAAACGACTGTGCGTTATTACCTAGCGGCCTTGTCGCTAGACCCTTACTCGTTAGTGCAGCATGAAATACGTACGTGGGGGATACACGTCCCTACGATCTCTTGCCGTGTTCTAATCCTTTTAGGCAACTTGGAACTTATCTACGCTTTGGTTCAACTGGCCTGAGAATCTTCACGCCGCTCTCTCTCGACTGACGCCACTCGCAGTGGCTAAGGATATCCAGCTCCTACCCGACTATTATCTAGGCATTGGTCGACGACTACTTCGTATCCGCTATGCTGTTTCCCAGGTTGCGAATAACATATCATTCTTTGCAAGATGTTCAGTCGAGCATACCCCGGCGCAAGAAAGTGAAAAAGGTCGATTTAAACTGGTAAGACTCTTGCTAAAGGGTGCCCGGATACTGCAGTATGGCCGGCAAGGATGCCAACCCTAAGGGAAAATGGAGTCGGATAACCTGGTTTACAGGTAGGTTTCCAATCTTGCTAGAACAAGACTGAGGTAGGTTCGCGGATCTGTCACCACGTTCAAGATTTAGAACTCCACCGACTTTACCGCAGTTTCCCTGTCTACTGTTTTTCGGCAACTTTGACGTAAGTCATTCGCCTATCAGAAGAGTAGAACACGGGTCCTCGTTTCTGTGAATTCAGTTCGCACGAGATACTCTAGGATCTTCGCTCATAGAAGTAGTGGAGAATTTGTAACTCCACATTGCACGAGCATCTCCATCCGAAATTTCGTTAACTTCGTTATCCATCACGTGCTCAGATCCATCAATTGCCTCCCCATTACCAATCCAGCCTCTCTGGGCTTCTCTTCTTGTATATTGTCATACGATCTTCGACAGATGTCTACGTCTCTAGTGCCTTCTTTAGCATGACCAGCAGTGGATATCAAGGCGCGTGCTATAGATGCCAACGCTAGCCTGATCAAGAATTCGCATAAGCTAAGGGCGAGGCCCGTCATGAAACAAGCTCTTACGGCTTTTGCTCTTCAAGCTTGGCCGCCAACAGCAGATACATTCAACAATGATATCGGACGCTTCATACAGACGCAGGTCTGAGGAGGAGGAGGCAATGGTCCTTGTGGCGACCAGTTCCTAGTCGCTACGCGAGGAACGAAATCAGGATAGTTGTCCAAGCTATGAGTCTGACTTCCAGTGTCTTGGAGCACTCTGTAGATAAAATCCTGCGACACATGGGGGAGCGTGAGGAGCGGTTGCTAGAGTGGGTTCGGCTGGCCTGAGTATCATCGACTTATACCCACACTTCGCAATTACCGTTCATTGGCTATACCACAGCTGATGGTTGAATAGACTACAACAATGCATTCGGTCCTAAGCAAAATTTGTCAGCAGCTTTCAATTATCAGGAAATCTACCTAAATGGCTTTCGTGTCGGGCCCGGTAGCATTGCTATAAAAGACCGTTGCCATATCCATGCCACGACCGAACATGCTCTTTGGTTGACTTCGTCTGACCAAGGAAGACAACTCTGACTGCATTCCGGACGAAACAATGTCTTCGGCCCAAACTGAGTTCTCCTCGCTGCTTGAAGCCCGGTACCAAGATGGCAAATCTGCCGGGCTTGACGGGCCCTTGAACACGACAATCGAGCTTATCCTACGTCGCAAATCACATCGCAAATTCCTCCCGACCCCTCTCGCTCCGGGTACGCTCGAGAGTCTAATCGCTGTTGGCTCCAGCGCTTCTACATCATCCCTCCTCCAAACCTGGGGCGTGGTGGCCATTCAAGACTCGGAGCGCAAGAGCAAGTTGGCTACGCTGGCCGGCGATCAAGACTTCATCCGCCAAGCACCTCTGTTCTTGGTCTTCGTCGCCGATTTGCATCGTATCAGCAAAGTCTGCGAAAAAGCAGGGACGAAGGACGCCGGGTTAGAGAAGCTGGACATGTTTATCATGCCGACAATCGACTGCGCCCTCGTGGCGCAAAATGTCAGCATCGCGGCGGAATCTCTCAATTTAGGAATCTGCTACGTTGGCGCTGTGAGAAATAACTGTGCCGAAATCTGCAATCTTCTCAGGCTTCCGCATCGCACGGTTGCGTTATTTGGCATGGCCATTGGCCATCCCGATCCTACTGAGCACGCCTCTATCAAGCCTCGCCTCGGGCTGGATGCCGTCTTGCACCACGAGGTTTGGAATGACGAGGATGAGCAGGAGCGTTTGGAGTCGTACAATAAGGCTTTGGGTACTTTTTATGAGTCAGAGGGCAAGTCAGGACGGAGAACGTGGACCGAATTCACTTCACGATACTTTGAATCCGGCAATCTCGATGGCCGCGAGAAAATGCGTGAAGTCATCATGCAACGTGGTTTCCACATTGAGTAAAGCAGCACTATATACTTGACTATTTTCATTTTAAATCAAAAGCCTTTACATATTAAACAGATTATTTATATTAAGTTCTTTTTTATATTTGTTTTTAGATAATAATTATATATAATATAAGTTTTTAATATTTAAATATATAAAATTACACTTTTTTATTAATAATAAATAATATTTAATAGTTTTTAGTTTTAATATTAATAAAAACTATTAAGAAAATACATATTTAAATATTAATATTAACTAACTACCTAGGTATGCTCAACCCGATCCCCGCGGATACATTGTCCTTAAAGCGGCGGGTAATCTGGCTACGCTTAACACCATAGCAGCACGCCTCTAAGTGGCTTGTACACTCGGCTAATGGGACTTCTAAGTGGGTGCATGTGCCAGGCTTCCGTCTTTCTCCCAAGTCCCTCCTACTGCAAGTTCGCTACGGTACCGCAGCTTCTTTCCCACCCCACGCTTCCATTCTTCACGACACGAACCGGTCACTTTTGCCAAACCAGGCTCCAACCTTTTCTCATAGCGGGGTGCCCTGTTCTTGTACATACTTGGCTTCTAATCATTTTGACTTTCCTGTACCTCGTCTGATCAAGCTTACGATAGCTTCTATTGTCACTTCATCTCTCTTCTATGGCAGTATACTTTCGGTACTTTTGCTTCCCTACGTAGTGGGGCTCTATACTGCATACCTTTGATTCCGCGGATAGATTCGAACGTCTGCGTCCAGGACTGGGTATATTATGGAGCAGTGACCTATCCCTTGTCTTTGGGTTCCAGAACACGCAAAATAAAAAAAGAGCCAAGGCGGACGGGTGACGGACGGATTCAAGACTCAGCCCACTTGACCGCGCACACCCTTGAGGCCCAGCACACTTGCCTTGCCAGCCTGACCCTTTTTATGAACGCTGTGTCCCCCTCCCCCTCCTCCGAAACACCTTCACGCGGCGCAGGAAACGTCACTTCTCTACCTCAACACCAGGACCTTCAATAAACTCACCTCAACTTCTTTCTTCGAGCGAGCCCGTCGATCGCTAATACAGCCGTCGAACGCCGCCCAACATGCTCGACGAAAACCTACCCACCTTCCACTTCCGCCCCTCCTCCGACAACCCTCAGAATACCATTTTGTACTTCACTCACCAAGGCTCAGACCCGGCGCCAAATTACGTTCTCAAGCGTGCCGACCCCGCCAACCCGGTCGCCCGCAACAAGTACGCCGCTGCTCTCACCGACATCGCTTCCCAGCAGATCATCTACGCCGAGGTCCTTGTCGAGCCGGAATGGACCCAGCCCACACTCTCAGCCGCCGAGGTCCGCGTTCAAAATGGCACCCCGGCCCCGCCACAACCCATCTTGCCCGACCAAGTCACGCTCCAGCTCTACAACCCGGACTCACAGGTCGTCATCAAGATGAAATCCGGTAGCTGGGGCAAGTCCGACAGCTGGGAGTTTGAGATGCCCGAGCAAAGTTTCCGCGCGCCGAGCGCAAGCTTGCTCGATCGTTCCTCCGACGATCCGCCCATCAGCGATACCGTCCCTAAGGTCGTGTTCCGCTGGAAGCGAGATGGCAGACTCAGCAAGGATATGACGTGTTACATGGTCGGCAAGAGTGTCGCTGGCAAGAAGAGCAAAGAGCCTGATATTACGGTCGCCATGTTCAAGGACACAAAGCACGAGAGCGCCGTAACGATCTACGAGCCCAACTTGCAGCGTGTGGATGTGGAGGATCGCAAGGGACTGGACATTGTCCTGCTTCTTGGCGCCGAGGTTCTCCGCGACCTGTTCCTGAACCCCAGACAAAACGTCTTCAACCTGACGGCGACACCGCCCCCCACGACCGGTCGTCGCAAGAACTCCAAGCCACCACCGGTGACCATGGCGCCGGCACCACCCACGGCCGCCATGTCCGGCGCCATCGGCAATAAGCCCGCTTCGCCTCCCGCACAAACCATGAACAATGGTCCTCCCAGGCCCAATGCCCGCCAACAGTGGGAGATTGACAATGAGACGAAGCGTCTACAGGCTATGGTAGCACAGGAGGAGCGGCAGGCGCGCGAGCGCGAGCGACGGGACGCCGAGGAAGCGAAGCGCATCAAGAAGATGCTCGACAAGGAGGAAGCCGACCGCCGACGCAAAGAAGCCGAGATCGAGGCCGAGACGGAGCGACTTCGCAGACTCTACGGCGTCCCGCCTAGTCAGTCGAACCCGAACCTACCACCGCGTCATCAACCACCGCCCGGAAGCACGTCAGGCTCATGGCACGTGGCACCCGCACAGCCACCACGACCCAACAGCGCAGGGCCGTACAACGGGCCGCCCGGGACCAGCGCGTATCGTCCGCAGGTGCGATTTGCGCAGCCGCCGCCGACGATGAGCGGGGGAGCGTCATCTCAGCCGCAGCAACAGCCGCAGTCGCAGCAGGCCGGTCGCGGGAAGCTTCCGAACCTCATGTCGGGACTGCTTCAGGGACCCTACGCGAACCCTGCTGCTAGCGTCAGCAACTTCTTCCATCGGGACCGGTCCGAGGAAGAGGAGAAGAAGCGAAAGGTCGCTAAGAAGCGGAGTGTGCATTTCTGAAGAATTACTGTAGTCTCATGAGATGCGCGGAGGGGTATTAACTCCCCTTTTCACTCTACCGATGTCGGTGGCATCTTCTTTTGGCGTTTGAAGGGACTTTTCGAGCATTCGTTAGCATCCGCCATGTACCGGGTGGCCTACAGGGCTAGCATGGCATATCTTTTCGCATTTTCGGCGTCAAGGGGGATTTCTCTGGACGGATATACCATGTATTAGTGTTTGGGTATATAGAATCACGAATTTTATGATGAAGGCATTTCAACTTCCTTTGCGAAAATCGTGTGTTGTATGGGTAACTAGTGAGATATACTATTTTGTTCTAAAGCTGCGAAGATGCTCATCTTTGAGGCTTTGGAGATTACGGGAAGGGTTCGCAACTTCTCCATGAAATCGCCAATTATCTATACCTCGAAATTCCGGACATGGTTCCCTAGAAGGTCATCACCAAGTCCCTCGGAGCATCAAGCAGGCACGTAGAAACGACTCTAGTCCTCAATCTGTTCAAGATTCTTTGGCTTCCCGCCTGCATGGCCATTTCTCAACTTGAGAGCAAGAGGAATGCGTGCACATGTTAGTCAGAAGAAGCCCGAGCCGTTCTCTTGTTCTCTCTTTGTGCACTTGCACCTTTTACTTTCCTGAAAAAGGTGCCTATAAGAGAAAGGGTTGAAATGCAGTAGAACGTCAATCAGCTTACCTGCTTGCATCCCATCACAGGCAGACGACCAGGAAGGTTGTAGTTAGATGGTCGATTCCCCGTACATACCTAGTATGCCTTTTCCTTAATCCTGATTTGAGATGGGTATAAAAGAAAGCGTTCAAACACGGTTGAACGTGCATGAACGTACTTCGCGACTATTCATAGTCAGAGTGCTGGGAATGTTTCTGGGGGATCAATGAGCCTTCCACCTTCCCAATCTTCTTACGATAACCGGAGATTCAAGAGACTGGTTAAAGACAATTTCATCTACTCGAACGGCTACTATTATCCTCCCCTTTCACGTTCGCACGTATTCGTTCCTGAAGAAGTCACATGTCGAGAGCCAGGATGGCAGACAGAAATGGAAGGCAAGGGATGATGCAGCAGCTGCCCAGTCTGTGCACTCTGTCACCCTTCAAAACCAACGTCATCCTTCGGCAGAACCCTTTTCCGAGCACCCAACGCTCGGACCAGGACCAATCACGCTAGCCACCAAAAATTCTCATGATGGGTCCAGCAACTGCTACCTCTGGCCCAGCTGTTGCTGAACATCCCCTAGCTCAACACCAAGTTCGACTCCATCCCAACAACGACTTCTCCTCCTCCCTTTTCGACGACCAAGGTCACTTCCTCGCCAACGAATTCGCCTGCGAGCTCCAGCGCCATCTCTCCATCTTTGGTTGGAAAAGAGCATTCCGTTTCGGCCATCAACAGCTCGCGAACCTCCAACAGCTCCAGAAGCTCGGATTCTACGTCGATTACCCGGTCGCCTTCAGTCTTCGACTTCACACGCCCCCGGGCTACCTACGCAACCGTCTCATCGAGATCATTGCGAACGCGCACCGCGCAGCCGATACAACACCGAAAATAAAGGAGCGCCGCTCTTGAACTACAGCCACAATGGTTCAACTTACCGAGGTCGAGGACGAGCACTTCCAGTCCGGCCAGGCCGGCCCCATCGACGATGACGCTGATTACTCCGACACCGGTATGTACCATCTGCTATCATTGAGGCATCAAGCACGTGGATGAGTATTTGATGATTACTTTTAATCGCAAAGCTCCCCCCTCGTGTCGCATACGTCACAGGAAACCTCCAAGCTGACCAAAAACCCACCCAAAGACTCCGAGATCTCTGAGGACAGCGACTACAACCCCCGCGACGAGTCCTTCGCCGAGCGCCTATACGCCCTCAAGGACATCGTGCCCCCGACCACCCGCGGCTGGATCAGCAACAAGGTCGACTTTGGCGTCAGCGCCGTCCAGAACACGTGGTACTACGGCTCCCGCACCGTCTGGGTCGTCTGCGCCACCGCCCTCATGATTGGTGTTCCCCTGGCCACCTGCTGGGCCGAGGACCAGCAGATCGAGGGCATGGAGCGCGAGTACCGCATGCGCGAGATGGGCGGCGACGCGCTCCTGGCCGCTGGCGAGGGCAAGGAGGGCAGCACGGCTGAGCAGGTCGGCATCGCTCTCGACCGCTCCGAGGCCAAGCCCGCTCTGTAAAATCACCAAACTTTCTCGAATATATGCACAATCAAGAAAGGAAACAAAACAAGACAATGCAAAAGCGAAGCCGGGAAGAAACCACCAAGGCTAGCTTATCGAAAGAAATCCGGATCCACGCGCACCCAAAAAAGCTGAACGACTGTACCACACACCAACCAACCCCTACTTCTCCCCCCTTTTCTCCTCGGGCAGATCTTTTTTTTTTTGCGTTTTGCGCTTCGGAAATTGTATATCAAGACAACTCTCTCACACACCACGACAACGGAACTTTGCATGCATTGCGGTCATGGATGGCTTTGGCGGGATGGGGGTTTTCCCTGCCAATTTTTGCTTGTACTATAGGAAGATTTTCATGAGGGCCGCGATAGGAATGGCCGTTTGCAATCATGACAAATTCTAATACCCATTCCGTTCCCTGGCATGTTTCGCGTGACTATTCGATGCGATCTGTTGCCGTGTTCACTTGCTCTCTGCCCCAACCAGGGTCATCATATACCCACACGACCCCCGGGAGAAAGTTGGCCTAAGGAGAACAGACGGGAAGAGCTTTGCTTTTGATATGACCATTTGTCAGAGCAGAGATGGGCAGCTCGTTCCTACGCTATCTTGAGTATGGATTTCACTGAAGCCACCGCAACAGGTAAACCCCTACCAAGGGAGATTTGCATACTCGGCATTGTCGGTTGTTGGATGTTGCCTCCTCCGTTCTCAACACCCGAAAGGAAAAGTTGGCTGGTTTAGCCCTAGAGCAACTTCTGATAATGCGTCTCTATTGACCTGTGTAGCCACAGCTCGAATCATCGCGACTCCAGGTTTGAAGCACTTATTACGGGAAGCGTACATTGTCCGCACTCTCCTGGCTGAAGCAAGTACTTCGGTAGATGGAGGAGGGTGGCCTGCCTCACTGAATCTTGAATCAACGAAGTGTGACCCCTTTTCATCCTCTCATATGGGGCTGTTTTGATGACTACCAGGCCTGCTGCGTCGAGACACTCTGCCACATAATGATGAATGTCGGCGAGACACCAAGTTCGGGAAAACCATGACCTCAAGGCTCGGTTGTGTCCAAGAGACCTTGCCATGCATTCGACTCACGTCTGATCGATGGGCGGGCTCTGAGAAGTATTGACTCTTCTCTGAGGCTATTTCAGCCAAGCTCGCAAGAGGTTCCCATACACTTCTATGCCGGGTTACCTAGGAGATGCCATGGGAACTTTGCAGCTTGGAAGACCCAGTTCGGATTATACCGCGAGGCAGTCGAGGCGTGTCACGTGTCGCAAGGAAAGAGATATTAAGAATGACTGATTTAGTAGAAGAGCGATGCTGATGCTATAAACTAAAGTACAGGTTGGTGCTCAACAAAATGTTTCTCCATCGTGACCCTGCCGGTGCGAGCAGCTTCACACACGCCATCGCCCCACAGTGTTTACTCACCTAACTCCGTCTTTGCTTGATGATGAAGATTCTCTAGCATGAAATTGCTTCTCTACGAAATTCTCCTACAGTTCCTTCATCTCTTAGAAGATGAAGTCGCGCCGAGATGTGGACAAGGCTCTCCTCATTTTAATATTGGAAAATACGATGCGTATCTGTGCCCGACCTTGACCTCGGTCCATTCGTCTATTAACCACGAGCCCCCAGAAATATAAATGCACTTTGTCTAAGAAGCTCAAGCCCCCTGGGCGCCTTAATATTGCTCTTTTTCCGAGTTCGAGTTGATATCGCTATAGTTCGATGACTGTGGGTTGTCCCTGCTTCTTCAATGCATCCTGGAGCTCTGCTATCTTGGTCCTCAGAGTAACACTCTCGCTGATGTACTCCATGTTAGATTCTCGGAGCCCTTTGATAATCTGAGCGTTAAGGTCACGACAAGCCTTCAGTTCCCTCTCGCGCATCTTCAATGAGTCCGAGACAGCCTGACAATTGTCTTCAGATTTCTCAAGGTCCTTTCGGAGAGTGTTGAGCTGCTCCTTGTGGTCGTCCCGTAGATATCTGATGGTCCTTGTCAAAGGAGACAATTCGGTACTTAAGTCGAAGGAAGCGGTGGACGACCGGTCAAGTTCTCCCTCTGCATTCTCTAGTTCCTGTTTGGCATTTTCAAGATCCTTTTTGGTATCTTTTAGCTCTTGCTGAAGTCCATTCACCTCAACTGTCAGGGCAGAAGTAATCCTGTCGTAAGTCGTCGTGGCTTCACGGTGACCACGTATAGACTCGTCTCTCTCAGATTTGACTTTGGAAAGAACCTTCTCGTTGTCCTGTCTAGTCTCATCAAGGCTCCGTAAAAGATGATCTCGCTCAGTTTCGACATCCGAAAGCTGTTTCTTTGCTTCTCTTTGCTTTGATGTGAAGTCGAATATCATGTCCTCGCCCAGACGGATCTTGGCGACTCCATGCGCTTCAACGTTGACCTGGACCTCATTGAGTCTTCGACGCTTTTCAAGGGGCAAGTCTGCATGGTTTAGCTGATTCTGAAATCCAGAGAAGGCCGGAGGGCACCATGTGAGCGAATGACTAGCGCCATTGGTTCCGAAGGAATATTGTAGGCCGCCTAGCCGACCCGGCGGGGTGACTTGGTCTTGCTGGCTCATGGTAGGTAAGGCTTCGCTTCGGCTTATGGTGAAGAGATTCTATTCTTTGATGTGGCTCTGCCTGATTGTGACTTGTGACAAGGTTCAGTCGATATGGCAGCGAGACATCTGGTGTTCAAATTGTCAGCATGGATCGAGAGGAAATTCCAGAGGAACCCCAGGGGAGCGAAGTAGAGGGAGAGCTCACAAAATATCAATGAAAGTTCGGGAAGAATAGGCAATGTGTCAGAGCAGGTCCTCTTGCATTCAAGAGTGGTCAATATTTGGAAGTTCGGTCGGTGTTCGTCGAGAGAGTTTCGGGATAAGTATCTCGCGTACAACGCTTCGAACGACTCGATCGAAGGGAAACGCCACGGACCCGAGTAGATCGCGTTGCACAACTGAAAAATAGAGATGGAGACTGGTAGTGGTGTTGTTGTGGTAGAAACAAAAGGCGGACAACTGGTGTGGGCAAAGATGGGAGGCAGCATCAGGATGGAGGTTGAGAGGGAGCAAGTGGCAACTCTTGACGCTGGGTACCTTCAGGTAAGTAACAAAATAAAAAGGAGGAGAATCACCACGATCGATCCTCCTTCCAACATTAAAATCGTGTGTTGCCAACTTCTGCAACTTACTTCATTCGTAGTTTGAGTGAGACGCTCTTTCCTTCTTAGTGACGGCCTCTTGATCATGTGGATCGTGCATACCTCCTTGAGCTCCAGTGCCTACCTCATGCACCGCTACCTTAATCTAAGTAGATAGTACTTTGGTCTTTCTCTTCGCGTGTCAATTTTAATGCGGAACTCACCCCTCGAGCATTTGTCCAGGTAAGCTGATGTCAGTGCAAGTACTCTTTCCTTCTCATGATCTTTCCGGTTACCACATGAAGAATGAAGCTTCCCTCTTTGCGCGTAGTCTGTGGCCAAGACCTTGCTGCAGATTGCAGACTTCCCATGGTAATAGAGGAAACTAGATAGGTAGGAAGTTGCTTCCTATGGTAGAACTAATCTCACTGGCCACAGATGCCGGTCAAAGTGCAATGCCTCTCTCAAAACAGGACAAGCATACTTTCTCTTCGCGCTAGTGAACAGACCAAAACAGTGATGGTCAGGATTACGACGGATAGCTTGAATGCTTCCAGTTCCTATCAGAGTGTATGTACCTGGCATCACAAGTTATCCCGAACAAGGGACGCAACCACAATCGTCCAATTTGAGCTGAAGGTGTCCATAAGTATATTTATACCTCCCACCCAGCAAAATGGATCAACTACTATGAAGCAAAAGATACAAACATCGCAAAAGGATAACAAATTGCCCAAAGGCGGAATCGAACCGCCGATCTTCTCATTGCATTCACATATCAACTCGAGATCGTGAGATCTGGAAGAAGAACAAGGTACTAGTGAGACGCTTTACCACTGAGCCATTCGGGCATTTTGTATCTGTTGATGGAGTCGTCAGGCGGTGAATGGACTTATATTGCTGTGGATCTCTCTCGCGGAAGGGGAGCCCTAATCGCGTCGAACAATCCGAGAAAAACCGTGGAGTTTCGACGACGTAGGTGGGGACCCGGCCGGCCATATATGGAGTGGACGAACTCGCCCAAACAGGAAAGTCGGTGATGGATATGCAAGGGGGTGTTTCGCTGAGGGACAAGGAGTTTGGAATGGAGGCATACTTCAACGGCCAGCCGGGCAGAAATTTTATGGGTGACAGGTAAGAGAAATCTCTCCCGCAGACTTCGGTATGAAGATTCGGCCCTGTTGACGATCCCTACATCGCAGGGCGCCCGCCGGTCTCCCAGGCATGAGACGGCACCTATCCGACATATAGACACAGGAAACAACATATACCAAGCTGAACGACTCATCAACGTCCTAAACTAGGCCCTCCAAGACTGTGAGCCAGTACGTCGGCAACTAAACCATCCCATCCGTAAACCCAGCTTCATCAGACGAGTCACATCGGGGACGCACATCTCACGCTGATCTTATAGACTTATAACGACCGCTTCTCAACCAACTTTATGCGCGCGATTCAGCCCATCATTCGAGTTTTTGACAGATTCGCGAGCCGGTATGGACATCTCGGTCTCAACTTACCTCACCTTACTCGCGAGCAGCAAAAGCATAAACTTTCCACCTTGGTAGCAAGTTTTGGTGCGAGCTACCTGCCCATCCCAGAAACCACTCAACCTGCGACTTGACGTCTCATTCCCCAGGCCCGGTTCACCTGTAAGTCACATCCCAAAACACCAAACGCCCGTCAAATGCGAAGATCAATCGAACATGTGGGGTGGGGAGTTGACCAGAGATGGTATGTATGGGTGTCAGAAAAGAAAAGAAAAAGTCTTTGTGCGTGAGAGATAGTCACCCGGAAGCCAAACCCAAAAAATCGTCGTGGTTGGACCTACGAGGTAGCTTGAACCAAGCTTCTTGGGGGGGAAAAAAAACCTGCCCGCTTACCATGATGGAAATCAATGTCCCGTCTATCCGCGACAGCCCAGCCTAAGCGGACGGCACCGTACCGACCTACATACGGACCTGCGGTTCGCTGTGACGACCGTGCCGACCTCAGCAAGACCGCCCGGCCTAAGGTAGCCAACCCACCCTCTGGTCAAGTTTGGTTCTCAAGCAAGAAAGAAAAATATGTCAAAGTATTGAGCGCTTTGTAAAGTTTTCCTCGGACTACCGTCAATCCGGTTCATTCTCTGCCCCAAGCCACCTTTTTTTTTTCACGAGATAGGGGGATAGAAAGGGAAAAGCTGGTAAGTCAGACCAGGGCAAGCTTGTATTTTGTTCACGTATACGATACCGTAACCCCCTTCCACCCTTCGACTCACCTGTAACCTTTTCACCCTCCAAAACCTCGTATCCAGATAAGGTACTAAGGTCTCCTCCCGCACCATCGCCCGCAAACAAGCCACACCACACACATACTTTCACCTAAACGTCCCAGGGTAAACGAACCGTTCAAACCCCCCTCCTTCCCCCCTGAGCTTCGGGGCTGACTTGCGCAAGGGATAACCGCCAGTGACATCAGTGTAAACGAACAAATCGCCGCCGGGAAGGGGGAGACCGTCAACCGACCCCCGCTCCGTCCCGGCGTCACACCGGAACCTCCTCGCCGAAACCGCCCCCAACATCCCGTCGTCCCAAAATGGGCAATATAAGGAACTGGAAACAGGGTCCCTTTCTTCCCCCTCTTCTATGCCAGTACGGATACATTGACCGAGAAAAGCTTCAGGGTCCAAACCAATGGAAACCTGCTTCGTACTCACCCTTTACCGAATTGAATTTCGATGTGTTCCTGCTCGTCTTACCCTTACGTCTTATTCACGGCGGACTTTGCTCCCCCGTCGTCTTGCCTCATCTAGACGCGACACCAACCCGCCCTGCCCCTGCTCCTCACCAACCCGTATATCGCCCATATCTACCATTCTCCATCACTCCCTCACTTAACTGATAGCTACAGATGACGCAAGAACACGAGCAAGGGAGCGTGTAAGAAAGTGTGTAAACGAACAGCAAAAAAATCCCACCACAGGCCAAAAGAACGCTCACCCCACCAGACTGAGACATCTAGAACCCGGCCCTCCGCCTCAACCGAATACCACCCACATACACAACATCCCGGTTCTCCCATCCAACCCCCAAACCTCGCCCGTCCGTTCCACCATAAGGAAAAAACCAGTGCCGGTACACCAGCTTGCGTTGCCAGCTCCAAGGAGGAACAAACCAACGAACGGGGTGGAAGTGAGCTTTCTACAGTACGGAGTACGAATGCTGCCTCCCCCTTCCCATTCTCCAAGAAAAGGACCCCACGAATAGCCTCACCCACATCTCCTACGTATCCATCTTCATATCCGGCATCCAGCCTCGTCATCCATCCCACCCTCTAAATCCCCACCTCAATTCCTCCAAAAATCACTCCCTCACCCTCACAAGTTACGACACAGCGTGGCACCGAACCAGACTTCGGCTGACCTTGGAAACCGCGGAAATCGTCCCATCTTCTCACAAATCCTAGACCTGAGGGAGGTGGGCGAGATGGATCCTCCGTGCTTCTAGAAGGGCGCGGCCGCGCGAGTGCGTGTAATTCCCGTACACTAGCAACATACCTACCTACTCCGTAGCTTTGATCCTTGATGAGATCGTCCATGTGCGTCACTTCCCTTAGCGAAAAAGGGCAACGCCCAGCAAAACATGCAAAGACCTTTTTATCGTGCGGTCCTCATCAGCGTATCAGGTCAACACACACTGCCTTACTAAGTCCAAAGCCCAGGTGTATAGACAGTGACCACTGAACGGTATCTGCGCTGGACGGGCGAACAAAGAAGAGAAAATCACGGTGGCCATGTGCAACAATATGATCTGAATCAAGTGGTGAATAAATTGATGTCAAGAATAAAAAAGAGCTCCTTTTTTTGATAGCTTCCGCGACCTCTCGCGTCGCACAGAGCAGATGCCACCCTCCCAAACCCAAGAAATATCCTGCCACCCACTCCCCGAGGTGTTGGTTACACGTTCGCTCCAAGTCTCATCAGACCACACCCTGTCCTAATACAACATGACAAACAATCACCTTGCTCTACTCCCCGCTTACACCCAGCGTAAGCCCCAGTTGGATAGACCCTAGATCTTCGAGAGCACAAGACTCCAGATAGCTTCGAGAAGAAATCAAAAAAAGTGCTCCATGACGGGCATTTGATGGCCCGATGTCTCGTCTGGTCAAGGCTTGAGAGCTCGTACACAAAAAAAACAGTATTTGCTCAGATCCACGTTTCGAGTTTGGACAGCCCAGGAACAGTTGCGAGACGAAACACCGTGGAGAAAACCCCCGCCCAATCGAACCCACACATTGTTTCCGCGACAGTATTCCAAAGCAGTCAGTCGTCTCTCTTCCGCGCAGCGCTATGCAGGTGAACCCCAACTCCAGTATGCTCTGGTCCTGTCGAGCTCCCAGCCCCGCATCCTACACGCGGCTGGTGTCCACTCAAACAATCGGACGGGAAATAAGTCAAATCGAGGAAGGATAAGCTTCGAGTATGATCAGTAGTGGTATCACCCCCTAAATGATACCACCAGGCGGATCATAGCCCGTTGTCGCGCCTCTGGCTCCCAGCCCGGCGCTCCCTGGTTGTTCTGACGACGCATCGACTTGTGCGTTATTCGTCTTTCGTAACATGAACATTGGTTTCTTGCCCTCTTTATCCAGCTGCTTGAATAGGATCAGAGGTTTCTCCTCCAGCCCCAAGCACCGCTCCTGATCGCCATAGACAATATACAGGGCGTACTGATCCCATGGTGCATTGATTTGGTATTTTTTGAGGGCGGCGGGCAGCACCTTGTAGCACGGGTCGTCCATACTGACTCGGAATGACTTGAAGATCTCGACAGATGCGTTACTCGTGCTTGGTGTATCGGGGGCTGGGGTCGGTCCGCGTTTCGGCGCCGTTTGCTGTTCCCGGCCTTTGTAACCATGGTCGTTTTCGGCAAATGTGGATCGTGTAGAAGGCGTCGGGGCTTCGGAGCGGTCGGAGCGATAGGATCGAGAGCCCAAAGTCGCGCCGCCAAGTGTCGGAGGGGAAGTCGGCGAGGGCATGTTCGGGGATGGATAACCGGGAGATGTAGCCGTGGCTGAACCGTTCATCGCTGCCAGATGCGATGAAGATAACACGGCTCGTTCCGCAGCATTTGAGGGATCCAGCGTTTGTTCCATCGACCTTTCGTGCGTTGTTTGCAGGTGTGACGGCGAGTTGTTTTTTGGCGTTGTTCCTAGCATGATTCTCTTGGTAGAGTACTGCCGTTGCAGGCTCATCGACTGAGTGGATGAGGGTGTTGGAGCGGGGGGCGATACGGTCTCGTAGCCATAGCCCTGGTTGCTGTTGTTGGAGACGTTGGGCAGCGGTTGTGATGAATCCTTTGCCAAGCGTAACGCAGGCAGCATATCCTCCCTCAGCCGTCTGAAGTCTTCGGAGAGTCGACGCAGGTCCTTCTCTACCATGCTCATTCTCTCGTCTCGTAGGCGGAGCTGCTCAACCAAGTGCTTAATATCCTTGAGGGTTGCTGTCGCGTACTGGGCCTCCGCATCGGCAGCTGGCAGAGCTCATGTCAGTGGGTAGTCTCTGCGAAAGAAATGCGGCGTCACCTACATAACGGCACATAATGGTCGCTCTCTATTGGTATGTCCTGGGCCTTCTTTACATCATAAACGCTCTTCAGGATAGTGAGGCGATGGCCAACACTGGCAATGCCCATAGACTTCAGGTCATCGTGTTGTAGGGCAACCAAGGCTTCGCCGACAATCTCGTTTTCTGTTGAAGATGCAATCAGTCGGGTGTCACAATGCATGGAACAACAATAAGACGAATGGGGATACCCACCAACAAAGCTGTCGGCATATTGCGCCAAACCGATTGTGCTGATGAAATCGGCGCACTCATCGGCGGTCCACTCGGAAATGATGGTCTCGGGCAGGCGGTCGGCGCTGCTACGGTGACCGTAGGTCGTGGGCGTATGCTCGTTGGAAGAGGGGAGCTCGGAGTCGATTGGCGAGCCTTCATCGTCGGCGACAGGCGAGTTGGGCCCCAGACTGCGCTCGTATTCGTCGTCGGCATCCGACTCTGCGTAAGCAGTGCCCGAATCGAAGTTCATGGCTGGCAGCGTTTGATCGGCGGCTCAGTGACGGAGGAGAGGAGAAGAGGTGGAGGTAGAGGTGCGATAGCACGTTGGAGAGGCGTGGTGAGGCGACGATAGTAAAAGTCGGACCGGCAGGCGGCAATCAGAGAGAGGGGGAGAGAAAGCAAGGCTCGGCGGGTCGAGTCGAGTCGAGAATAGGAGAGGAGGGCAGGCTGGAAGGCGAATCGGGGTCTTGGTGTCAAGAAGCGCCGGCGGTGCCCTCAGCGTGAGGAGGTCGTGGCGGCGGCTGCGGGGGCCCGTTGCAGAAGAGATTGGAAGTGTGGAAGCAGAAGCAGCACACAGGACTGGGCTGACAGGGTCGGGATCGCGAGCATCGGTTCCTGGGGCAGCAGGTCGGGGTTTGTGTCCGACGAGTTGAGGTGAGGATGGCGATGTCAAAGGGGAGAGAAGGTGGGAGTTGAGATGCGCAACAGCGAAAGAGGCTCAATGGGGAGACACGCTACTTGGGCGGGCTAAGGTCGTAGACTGCAGGAGTAAGAAGGACGAGTCGGTTCCAAGATGGGATCGTCGTTCGGGTTCGGGCTCAGGCGAAAAGGTGGAGGAAAGCGTCTGGCAGGTCGCAGAGCCAACAGCAGTGGACTGCAGTTAGGTAAGGTAAGGTAGGTAATGGCAGGGCAGTGAGGGCAACAGGTGCGTGTTCCACTGCTTGAGGGGGAGGGGGAAATACCTACATAAGGTAGGCACCTAGGCAAGGTACCTAAGGTAAGGACCAGACATGAGGAGTACAAGAGATTTGGTGCGGGAGTGCGCTGGAGCAAATGTAGTTCTTGTGATGTGCTCCTATGCTTGGCCTGGTGCCTTCTATGGTAAGGTACCCTTGGGAGGCTGCGTCCGCTGTTGGAAATGGAAGGTAAGGTACCGTGAGAAAATGCTGGGTCGTTTCCCCGTGCGGCGTTCAGTGGCCTGGTCCACGTCCCAGTTGGGTACCTTACCTTACGGTAGTGGAGCCGCCGGTGTGGGCGCGATCCAGGACAGCCCTCAGCAGTACTTCTGCCCGCCATCCAGTGAGAGGTGCGCCCTGTTGCCTGTGCCAGCCCGGCCCTTACCTTAGTACCGTACACAGTACATGGCAAAGATACTGGGCCTTGCCTGTAATGGTACTTGCATAGGTACCTTAGTCACGGTAGTATGTCCCGGATTGGCGTGGAATAAGGTGGACAGAGATGCGTGGCCAGGACAAGGAGACAAGAAGGCGGGCAGGAAACTCATGAAAAGCAAGCAGCTTCCTCTTTTCGATTTGTAGTCTACTTGGGACCTAAAGCCGTACGTCTCAGTCTAGACGACCGAGTTGAGGTAATGTACGATTGGGTACAATCTAGACCTGAGCGAAAGAGCCAGGTAAGAGACATACATCCATGGTTGGATCCACGGCCCATGGCACCGATGGCAGATGATGTTTTCGTTTCTTTTCCCCCCTTGACATTGCATATGCAAAGCAACAAAATGATGGGCGCAAGAAACCTGGCACACTCGCGGGTCACCAGGGCCAGTGGGCGGTAGTGACATGCAGATGCCGACGTCAAAAATGGTCTCCCGGCTGGTTGCGAGATGATGATGCATCACCACCACCACCACCATCATCATACTGAGTACTGAGATACTCCATATGCGCCGTGCCGCCTTGTTCGGCCCATTGCCGCGGCCACAAGAGTCTGTTAGCGCCCAAGGGGGTCATCCCTGCGCCATCCACGACATCCACGACATCCACGACATCCACGACATCCAATTGCTTCTATTGCTTGAAGATGACCTTTTGCCGTCTGCCCGCCTCCCCGCCAAGTTTCTTAGGTGCTTAGGCACGATTGATTCTTTCTTACATCCAAGTATCAACCTTTACATCCACGTTGGCATCTGAATCCCTGACACCTTTAACAAAGCATGCCCTGGCTTGCCTGACATATACCACACACAGTAGTCCATAGTGATTAATATGCAAGCCCCGGCTATGAAGCTGAAGCTGAAGCTCAACCTACCTTACGAACAGCACATGTCTCTCCCAGCTTCCACCAGTTCCTTGCTTCTCTCTCAGAAACTGTCTCCGCACACTGCATACTGTGTGCATGGTCCCTAGTAGTGCCCAAAAGAGGCTGACGAGTTTTTCCCTCCCGCTGCATCAAACATCGGTGGCATGTTCCAGAAGCCGCGCCATCTGCGTTCCTCATCTCCCCCATGAACTTGTGCTACCCAACGATAACCAGGTTAATCAAAGTCAACAACGGAATAACCTGACAAAGGGGGAAACCAACCCCAGGAAAACAAGAGATTTTTTCCAATTTTTGACGGCATGCAAGATGAAAAACGGCCCCGACATCTGCTAACCGGTGCAACATTGGCACGCTGCCCCTCTCTGTCGGTAATTGGGACCGAGCAGCCCAGCCGTTACCAATCGCTAGGTGACAAGTGGACCCTCCTCTTCGACTCTCCCGTTTCCCGTTTCCCGTTCAGTCCAAGGTCCACCGTCCGCCCCTCCAAAACGCCGTGATGCCCTGCCACCGTAACTTCCGGAATATGAGAGATATCAGAAGAGGGAAGTCACCTCTCAGGCTGGTCTCTTAGACTCTCATAGCAGGAAGGAAGAAATATGACCAGTCGATACTCCGTAGTATCTTACCTTATCTCGCCTTTCCCCTTTTGAAATGACGACCTTCATGTCGAATGCAACTTGATTTCCTGCCAAGGGGAAGCGACGCGGCCATGTACCTGCATCCTATCTCAATCTTGAGGTACCTTACCTTGTGGTAGCTCAAGAATCCCGTACGAATGAATACCCGACGGCAACGGAGTGAGTACCTCCTTACTTTGACTTTGAACTCGACAGACAAACACAAACACCAGGGCCGAGCACTGAGCACGAGAAGAGGGAGTCAGGAACCCGTAGCGAGAGCCATGCGGTGAAGTCATTATCAGATGCTTTTGCCGTTTCTTCTTTGCTTTACCGTCCAAGCACCGTCGAGTCTTCCACCAACCACATTGCTCAATCCCAACCGCTGCCCGCTCTTGTCTACCATTCTGTATGGAATGACCCGGATCACCTTCCCCTCCGTCGAGACACACGAGTGACGAACCGCCGTCCTGGCTTGCCTGACCTTAACATCTCTGCTAACCTCAAACATTCCAGGAACCTCGGCCAACCGCGTGCCAGACATCGTGGGAAGGGGTTCCCGACCTAAACCTGCTTCACGGCAGAGAGTCCCGACCGTCCAACCCCCCGCACCTTTCATTCGCCCAAACCGCCTCTTCAGGGTTGATACCGGCAAGCGTCAATATGCAAACTCTCTTCCAGAAACACGCCAGCTACCTCATCTACACGACCTCACCTTGTAAAACGTTGCTTAATCGACCCAGTATTCCCCTTAGCTGCTCCATTCATAGCTCTACGTTCGGCTACCCCCAAATCCAATTGGCATAGAAAATTGCCCGACTGGACGCTGAACCTAGCAAACCGCCTATGCTATCGCCCTACTACAACTCTACCTTATACTGTACGAATGCAGCACTCAGCTTGCCGCGTCCAATGAACCCGGATTGACTGGACAAGTGACATCAAAGGCGTCCGGGTACCGGCTTTCTTACTGTTCAAACGGAACAAATGGCGCTTTACGAATACCTTACGTTTCCATTGTGCATACCGGATGGGGTTCCGTCAGTCTAGGCCTCCATCGCCCACAGTCTACGCGTTCAACGCCTTGGAACCAGTTCCCACACTTCCCCAGCTGCTCCATTTGACACATGACGATGGGTACGGGTAGCCTTGTACCAGCACGCAAATGAGGCATTTTAGACAACAGAGACGTCGTCGCCGTCATATCGAAAGGCCCAGCCAGCGATATCAATATGCGCGACTAATCATCTTGGGGGCCTTCCATCATTTAACATTATGGATAAGCACCCACCCGCCGCCGCCGAAGCTTCCAAGCTTGTCGACTTAGGTCCAAGGCCGCCGTCTTGGCACTCTATAGCAAACCTGCTGTCATCACGTCCAAGCTACCATTTGCAGTCCCTTGGACCCCCAATTTTAAAAACAGAATTCCCTACAGGGCTACGCATATTAGCCTCAACGAGGCTGCCAGCAAGGGAAGGCGAATCGACCAAAGCCCCGATAAGAGCACCCGTCAGATTGAGCCCTGCGTCGATCATCCTCGGCTCCCTCTGGGCTCTCGACTAGTCCCCTCCTCGTCCTCTGACCTCTCTGGCCGTATGGCCGTCGTCCTTACTCTCTGTGTACAGAGTACGGCTACCCATCTAACATTGTTCATCGCAACTCTGTACCGCGGCACAGCCACCCCGTTGTTTTTTTTCAACATCGTCCAAAATTCCTCCTAACCTGGCCGCTTGTCCTCTACTGAAACATCCAGCTTTGATGGGCAATAGTCAAGAAGGTGACTTAACTGCATCCCACTTCCCAGGAATATAGGTTCAGTCACGACACACGCCTGGAAAGAGGAATATCAAACGGCCCCCAATGACACTCCGCTTGATGTGTGAGTTTCAGGCTCTCTGCCGATCCATCCGGGCAGGACGCTAGAGAACATCCACATTCGTCTATCGCGAACCTGTGTCGCGTCGAGGCTAGCTCTTGCGCTGCGGTGTCGCCAATCCGCGCATGGCAAACGTTTCGCGCCAGTAGACGCGCTACCGAGAGGATACACACCAAACTGGGCCGCGAAGATAGACCTAGGACCCAGTCTTCCGGTTGTCACATTTGGCATTCTTTCAGAAAGTCCACGGAAGGTTCTCTCTGTCGTATGATTCCTGAGAGCGCCCACATCGAACCTCTCGGACCATCTCGTATAACCAGCGCTATCCCAAACCGACAACGCCTCTACCCTGGCGTTCATGTCACCATCGACCCTAGTGTATGCTACATTATCCTGGAGCATTGCACGACCTCTTGACACTTCGCCCACTATTGTCTGGTGTTAGATATGAGACGCAACCTTTTCCGTCTCACATCGCTTTCGAGACAGAGTGAGAAAGACCAACAAGCCAGATCTTATCGTTCATCTCAAAAACTCACTGACACCGTACCCGTCCGTCCATTTATGGCTCACAATGTGATACCTCTTAGCATTGGAGAACTCACTATTCATACACGAGGCATCCGGAACTTTCTCCGGGACCCAATCGCAGTGCCCTCCTGAGGAAACAAGTCCCATCATCATTTCCCAAGAGTCCGAGACCCCGTTAGCAAACATCCATCAACCGGTCACCCGTCGCACTGAGCCACGGCCGAACGCACATCCAAACCTAATATGGAAGAACTGGCTCGTTGCTTACGCCGGAAGAGGCAAGGACAACTGCCCATCTCTTCTACAGATCCCCTCTCTTGTCGAAAATCCCACCCCAGATATACTTCGACGCTAGAGCCTCTCCGATCTGACGCCCGCCGCATCCCCTACGCCAGGCTTACACTACATTAATAGGATCCGAACGACGGCTCGCTCGGCCGAGTCCCTCCTTCAGGGCCCCTTTTTCTGTTTGCCGCCCCTTTGTATTTAAGCTCGCAGCTCACAGCTCCTCAACCGCAAATCATCCGCTATCATGCCGAGCGACCCCTCCTGACCACGGACTCGAGTTGCTTCCCGAAGCTAGAGCGTCCGTGCCGTTAT